TTTTTTTCTAGTTTTGGACTGTTCCTCACCTGGCTGGCGTCTATGCTCGGGTTTGGCGTCGATGCGCCCGTCACCCGCGCGCCCAACAGACGTCGAGCTATCTGCTCTCTTCAGCGGTCCCCCTCTCAATGGCTGAATCTGATCTCCACTTCACCCTCGTCGGCGACGTATTTCTGCCTCTGACGGAGGAGGAAGCCACTGCTGCTAGTGGTGGTCAGCCAACGGCCGTTGGCTGGAGTCATCTTTTCCTCACTGTGCTCTGGAATCCGGACGCAGTCGGCGTCCTCTCCGGCTGGGTAAGCAAAACTGTTATTGTCGTTGTTGTACGCCCTGCATTTCTTTCCTGCTACAGTTTTGGACAGAGTGGCTGCAGAAAGACAAGGTGACGAGACCTTTTGCAGGGTACCTGCCACTTGTTTGTCCTGCCAGCTGCTTGACCCTTCAACTCCAACGTAATCACAAAGGTCTGATTACGGCGGTCTTTGAAATTGAGCCGCTATTTTGTTTTGTTCTTCATTCTCATGTGCATTTCCTTGGTAAGGATTGAGTATGCAAGCCCCAGTGGGTTTAAAATACATAGCTATGATAAGTAACCCTGTGTGTGTCAAGTAATGCATTCATATAAATGCATTAAGCATTTTTGTTTTGGTTTTTTGTTATAAAATTCCCGTTATTTATTGAGACTTTTTTTTCAATTTCATTCTTATCCTCGTTGTTATATATATAGACCTAGAAGAATAAGTATAATAGGGATTTACTTATTTGTCATGTTTTCTTGCACATATTTTCCTGCCTTTCTGCGGTGAGGTTACGTCCTTAAAACTCCCTTTACCATCATTCCAATTTTACAAGACCGTGGGGTTAGTGCCGCTTGATGAAGTTTTCATAGCGTTGTCAGTTTCTTATACATATATTCAGCTGTTGGCCTACTTTGCCCAATATATAACTATTTTTACTACTTTTAGAGCATCTTTTCCCTGGTGCAACTTTTAATACTGCATAAATAGCAGAATTTAATGGATCCATATATCTCGAGAGTGCTCATCAGCTGCTATCTCTCGCTGCATAACGCGAGTAACGTAAGAGAAAATACAATTCGTACAGCAAAGGTCAATAAGGTCAGAGGACCCGGTCACAAAGACTAATCAGTAACTTGAGCATGCTAAAACAACGCGGAAGTAAAAGTGAGCAAATGAAAGTTAAAACGAGAAGGTGGCGAAAGAACTGTGTAAATCAGGGAAACGGATGTTACCAAGGCAAAGTAAGGTTAGCCACATGCCCCAACTGTTTACACAGGTCGGGTTTTGACCGCCGTATATGCAACGTTGTGAAGGAAGTTCAGTTTGGCCTGCATTTTGTGACTTATCGAAGGACGATTCTTCATACTGTCGATAGTTGCAGGCTTCGAGTAATATCCATCGTTTGTAATCTTCCGGCGATATGTAGTTTTTGTGCCAAATTTTATTCACGATGAATGAAGGGCTTTTTACTGAACATTATGGAATGGTACGTTCGAAATAAAGCGCATATATGTATATATACAGAGAATAAGGACGATAGGAAATGTGGGAAGACTGACATAGCTTGTTTCGGGCTTATTCTGCCTTCATTTAGCTTATCATCACACTAACTACAGTCTCGACTGGAAACACAAAGGTGCGGTTGGGTAGGACACAGATAGTCTACACATTGGGTCTAACAGATGGGTAATAAGCACTTCATGGAACGGAAGTTCATCAGTGCTTCACCACCGGTCATTCTCTATCGCTGCAGATGGGGTATTTATTCAAATAGGCTCCATTTGGGTGGCAAAGTTCACGAACAGACAACTAACTACCAGGTCGAAGTCGGCCAAGTTATATTTGCGTAGTTGAGGGTATATATGTATCATGCCGCGTTCGGGTAGCAGTGCCGTTCACCGTTCTGGCGTGAGTTCAGGATGACATATTGGCTGGCCACAGTGTCTTGCAAGCTGTGCTTCTCGTAGGCGTTCGCCTAGCGGTGGGAGACGTTTGCCTATCATGAAGGGAGACTAGACTTACTTTCATGCCTCCGTTTTCTCTGAGCGTTAGTCCTACCCTCAGCTTCCTGGAGGACTCGACATATAAATCCATTTTTGGTTTGTTTGAAGGAAGCCAAAAGGGGCCATTCTCCTCCCGTACAGATGACCCAAACAGAAAGTTCACCGAGGATATGGCATGCTCTGCCAGGGCTGTCTCAAAAGTGGCTGAGCGCATCATCGCTGGACTAGGTGTTGATATTGCACACCTGCTCAAATATACCTAATCAGGGACCGACTAAATTAGAAGGGGCAATCTAGGAAGTGTATCACATCTCACCCCTAAGCTGTCCTTGTAACTGCAAAGCTCAAACTGAATGCATGCTCGGATCGCGTATAGTACATTAACATAAGCTGGTTGTGTGACAAATTATCGCAAGTTGCTGCTCGCTCCTACGAAATTGGCCACGAGTTCAACTCAATCGGCGTATCGATTTGGCGCCGGCATGTTCACCTCCAAATTTGCGTTTCTGATAATTGATTCGCTTGCACTCCCCGTAATTGTCGTCTTTTTGCTGCTGCTGCTATTGCCAGCTTTGACAATGAACTCCTACACCAGTTCGAAAACTCGCAATAATTAACAAACCGTTCCGGTTCTTGGACAGACTTCTCTGTTACCCACGCCCTTATCCTATATTTATCTGACTACTTTGCAACGTCCAACCAATCGTTAAGGCTACACCACTCACTAGGTCCGCAAACTGTACTTTCAGTCAGTTTTGTTATTCCGCAGTGTCACGTGATCCACCGAATAGACCTGCCACATACGCTGTCGCTGAACATGCTTGTGTGTGTTACAATGTCATATTTATAGAACACACTGCGTCCTGATAGATTTGCAATCTTAACTATAACGGAGTAAAAACTGACGGCTTATCTCGCCCTGTATACCACACAATGATGTGACCTTTGAGTGCAAACCATCAATACTGTTCATTTAACTAAGGGCTCTTTTTATGCGAGTGAAAAATCGAATCTAGTAAGTAGTCAAAAGGTAGACGCCAGTGCTGACTTTGACGTTTCCGATTCCCGCTTGAAATCCTAATCAGCTGCGGATAATTCATGCACAGGGAATTTGCGGTATTGATATAATGCAGTCGCTATGCTACCGCATGTCTATCAGAATTGGCGACTACTTTTCTTTGGAAATGGTCGCCATTGGTGCGATAATCACCTGATAGCCGGTGTTTGAGTCCTTAGGTTCATTGTGGTTTCATCAGTCGTGTCAGATGGTTGCGTAATGATTACTTCACCATCTAGTTCACCGACGCTGGCACTGGAAGTTGTCTTCACCGGTGTGCTCTCGGGTGAATTTTCTGTTGAATTCACCATGTGATCACTCAGTGAATTTAGCCGGTGTCACTTGAGGCCCTTAATTACGTAGTGGTGTCGGTTATCGACCGGACCTTTTTGCTAGTTTTGCAAAAAAGTAACAGCCCACAGGTTCACACCGAAAGGAAAAAATATGTAAAAGGATATCCACGTATGTGAGTTTATTTAAAACAATTAAGATGAAGACTCTACATTGACAGTTGTATGTATATGTCTTGCAGTTCGCTGAAAATACACACGAAAACACTGGTGATGGAAACATTTATCTAGTGGTCAATTCATAGTCGGATTGGTTCTGGGGTTATCCTCTTTTTTTGGTAAAATTACAGTGTCTCAGTTAATACTTCTTTGCGTAACACTACGCCATCTGCTTCACCGGCTGTTGATGTTCAGACCGATGTAGCCTCGCTAATTGTACTGTTTGTCAGGATAAAATTATCGACGAGAGCCAGGACGACCGGAGTGGCCGTTTCTGGCTTTTTAGCCGTCATCAGTGGGCCATACCCAACCCCAGGTGTTTTGTCACCCGAGCTCGAACTCGCCACGAATTAGAAGTTCAGTGCTCTTATCATTGAGCCTCAGACGATGCAAAATCTGAGGTTGAGTATGACCGGCTTATGACGGCTAATAAATCAG